CATAGTTCAATCTAGTACAAAGTTTGCATGTAGGATAGTGTTCTTATTTGTTTCTAGGAAATATTCAGCATACAGTTTGCTGATTACATAACACAATTGCAAACTGGGACCTGACCTGGATTGAGCTAATATCTTGATGAAAATATCTATGAACGTTTGGCAGATATTGACAAAATATTCCTATATCTCCCAATATCTGTGTATGTGCTGATATTGGGAGATATAGGAATATTCTTTCTGTCCTTTTCCACTGACAATCATGGCATAAGACACAACTACTATATAAAAACATTACAAAGCACAGTAGATGCCATTTTCTGAATGCATATGTTGACAGGTACAACTCTCAGTGAAGCCCAGTACCATAATTTGCCCCAGCAAGTGCTTCAAAGTCTCAGTATACACTAAGGGCTCCTCTCACTCATTATCCTTACACTCATCATCTTTACATCACAGTCACAATGTATTTGAAAATTTGCTGTATTCATTTCCAGCTCAGAGTAATAAATGATCTCATTATCCATCATGGTTTCATTGAGTTTCACAATTGGCAGTGCTTATTAAAAGCTTCTTACTACTCACCTCTAGGGATAAGCTTCAGGTTTAGGTTGAACATCAGTTTGACCTGAAGCCAGTCTGTTCACAGATTGGGTAAATGAGCTGGCCAGATTTACTCGGTTTGTGGCCTGCTGCTGGAAGTCATTCATTAAGAAGCAGTATCGCAACTGCTAGTAAATGACAGATTGCCGCTGGCATGTTTCAAATTGTAAACAAGCCAACAGGGATCCTGGGTGGTGTCATTGACCAATTATTTGGTCAATGACATCACCCAGAATCCCTGGCTGGTTTGTTTACATTCAGCACCCAACCACGGAGCTGTCATCTGGGACAGGAGTAGCAACAGGGCAGCATGGTCTTGGCGATTGCTCATTGTGATTGATGCTGGATCTACATCATTGGATTTACATTGGGGGACATGGTTTTTTATCCTAACAAAGGACTTTTTCTATGGTGTCTGTGTTTTTATTTAGTTGTTTTTTTTTTGCCAACGAGTAATAAGGGATGCCCACCCCCATCAATTAAGTTGTCCAGAGAAGTAGATTCAGTGTCAATGATAATGAGCAATGCCCGACAGCCCACCAACATGACAACCCACGGCACTGACAATGCTGACCCATCACACTCCAGTCGCCAAATGACTTTTCCCGGCTGCTGTGGTAATGTAAAGGAAGTAGCCAAGGATCTTGAGTAAGATCATTGATAAATATGCTCATTACCTGGGATCCCCAATAACAAAGCCAGCAGGGAACTGGCATTTGGCGGCAGTGTTTTATTTTTTTTAAATGTCACTTTTTAAGGAATACACTGTATTGATGCTCAATTTAAGGGAATTTAAGGCGTCCCTACGGTATGTTATTTAACCCTTTCATGACTGAGCTTGTTTTTAGTTTCTGTTCATAAATCACTGACACACATTTGACATTTTTGCTGTGTGATTCTTCCATGTCAGTAATTTACTTTCTTACAAAGTGCACCTACACATATTATATATTGTTTTTAGAGGACAGATAGGGCTATATATGCAAATTGGCCTTGAAAAAGGGCAGAATAAAATTACAAGATTCAGCTCCCATAGACTTCAAAGGGGTTTGCAGCTATGTTCGGTTTTAGCAGATTTTTGTCAAGAGTTCAACGATCGTCCAGCAAACTGACCTTTGCTTTGTTTTCTCATTACTATCCCCTGTCAATGGCACATGGTTGTTTACATCTCAGTGCTAAATAGTACAGTCTTAGTTTGTCCCTCCCTGCTTTTTGCCTGTTCTTGCAGTATAGTTGCTAGCTTCATAGCAACTATAATAATCTAGTTGTCTTTTTATACTTCAGAAGACTGGAAAAGCATCCTCTGGACTGTACTTTGAGAAATAAAATTGAGCTGGATTTAGCTTCCATGTCTTATTAGACATGTAAAGTTAACATTAAGGTGGTTATTCACTAAAGAGCCGAAGGATCCAGCCATAGCTTTGGCTGATCCTTCGGCTCGCTTTGGCCGCCTCTGCCCTACAGTTCAGTCGAACTGAAGGGCGGCTGTATGGGCTATTCACAATAGCCCGTATGGCAGCCGAGCAGCTCAGCCGAGCCGAAGGCATATGCTTCGGCTCGACTGAGCCGAAGTGACAGCTGAAGTGGGGAGAACGGCCTGCCGAAGGGCCAGCCATTCTCCATGCAAATGACAGCTGTGCGGAGCCAGCTGTGATCTCACGGCTGGCTCTGCCCAGTTGTAATGACAGATCAGCATCCCCAAATGATGGAATGCAAGAGGCCTACTGTTACTGACAAATGAATATAGCTTTTGGTTTGGTGGAAAAACAGAGATAAAAATTGAAAGTATATATACTGAGTGGCCAGTTTATTATGACCACCTGATGTTTGTAGGCAAATTAGCTATAATTTTGCGCTGAAGTTGCTAGAGGGCCAGACCATTATAAATAGGGAAGCAGGTTGTTTACCACGACAGTAGAAGTGATTTTTTTCTGAAGATATAGGTAAACAACGCGATTTAACAGCCTTTGAACGTGGGATGATTTTGGCGCAACCCATGAAGCGAGTATCAGCAAAACAGCAGAATTCGTTAAATGTTCACGAGGGGCTCATTGTTAAAGTGTTTAAAGACTGGACTGTCAGCCAAAAATCTGGGTCTGAACGTGCGAATTGTGGCTGTCAGCAACTAGTCAATGTTAGGGCAGAACGGAGAGTGGCAAGACTGGTACAAGACAACAGAAGGGCAACAGTGCAGTGTCAGATTCCTCGCATCACCTTTCAACATCTCGTGGAGTCACGGCGCGGCCCAACAAAGTCATCTCGTGGAATTATCTCGTGGCCCAACAAAGTACTGATGGGGTGGTCATAATAATCTGGCCACTCAGTGTATGATCTCTTTCTCTTTTTTGGATGTGTATAAACCTGAAAGCTATCTATGAAGGAAGCAGGCTGCCATCCCAATTCAAAATTGTAGAATGGACGCCTATTGAAAAATACCAGCAATTCAGTGCAATTCAATGGACTACTCAAAGTACAGAAAATCAGGAGATTTTTTTTCTTTTCCACCTTTACATATTGGTTGATACTATCTAGATATCTAAAATATATGCATTTTATTCTCTTATCTGGATAAAGGAAGGGGTATGGCAAGGAACTGGCTTCAGGTGGACAGGCACCAAATGTGCAGAATTGCAAGAGTAACATTTTAAAAATGCATGTGCTGTTGAGATATACACTTCCAGTAGATGTTTGTACCTCTTTGGTTGAGTAAAAATATTACATTAAAAATATTTTTTTATCAGTTTCACTATTTTGTTGATTGGTGGCATTCCGGTTAGTTTAGCTAACTACTGGCTGGGAGTATATATAGCTGTTGGAATGGGGCCAGTGGCGGACCTAAGGAATAAAGGGCCCTGGTGCAAGATTTTTTTGGGCCCCCTTCCCCCCAAACCCCCCCCAAGGGATGCATTGCTGTATCGGCAGAAAAATGGCATTATTGCTCTCACTGTGACGTTCGAGGCGATATGTAACATGTGCAGCACAATTGTCGTTTTTCCGCACGTAGGCGCTCTGACGCTGTGTATCTGAGGGGCGGGGGACTTAAACATTTTTTCCCCTCCCCCAATGTAAATGTCAGCACTTACCTTAACTGATGTCTCTTAATCCGATCTTCTTTCCTGATGTTTTCAGCTGTCCCTCCAGCGCTGCTGCGGGTCTCCGATCCAGCGCTGACTCCTCTGTCCTTGCTAGCACTTCTTGTCCCACGGTGTCTGCATGCGGATGCACGCATCCATAGACTTACCTTGTGTCTCTCCTCGTCTCCCGGCCGAAAAAATGCTTTGCGACTGTCCGAGCAGTTTCGGATCTTCGGACGGGAGCGCGCGGCACGGGGTAAGTTTTTTCCCCCAACTTTTTGCACATATCTCCTGCTTGCTAGCCTTATATATGCAAAAAAGCCAGAGGGTTTAATAACCCTTTAATGCTAACCTGATCCCTGGAACGACTGACAAGCGCAGGCTCCCGTCTCTCAGGCTGTCAGAATATGCATACAGAGCGTGTCGGCAACTATTTAAACCGGCGCCCTGTGTGCAGCTTCTGAGAAGATAAGCTATTAGCGTAGCGGGGAAGCCGGCTGCGCATTTTGCATCGCTCCCGCTACGCTAATAGCGTATCTTCTCAGAATCTGCACACAGTGCGTCGGTTTAAATTGTAACCGTATGCATCTGTATGCATATAATGACAGCGTGAGAGCCGGGACGCTGCGCTTGTTGGTGGATCAGATCAGGTGAGTATTAAAAAAAATTTAATTATCTCCCGGGAACATAAAATAATAAAACGTTAAAAATGTTATTTAAAAAATGTCACCTTACCTTAGGCTGGTAGTCAGTGGGGCTCCCTGCCCCTGGTTGTGGGGGTCTGTTGTGGCCAAGCTGCTCCTTCCCCCTGCCGCCATTCTGCACATCTGACACTCCCGGCCAGTGGCATAGCGAGGGGGGGGGCGCCTGCCCCGGGCGCAGGGGCGAACTGACCGTGCGGCTGTCACCGCAGCTCCCAGTCAGCCCGCCCGCATCAGCCCCGGCTCTCTAATCAGCCGCCGCTCGCTCCTGAAGGGGGTCCTCTGGAGGCCCCCGCATGGGCCCCCCCAGGCTGAGGCCCCGGTGCGGCCGCACCACCAGTAGTTCCACCACTAAATGGGACAGTGGAGGTAGTCAGCCCGAGGAGGGACACCTTTCAATTTTTGAGAGAATGAGAGTCCATGCTTTACCATGTAAGTAGACAGTTCTGGAGAACATGGTTGCCTGCTGTGTTCCCCCTAAAAGAGATGTAATGCTCCACTAACGAGAGAGGGCTGTTTATGCAGGAAATCTAGATGAAGCAGAGAGACATTTATTTCTCCCCAGAAGGTCTGTGCGCTCTTACTTTGTGCCCACCCAAGCCTGTTGAGGTGTTGGTTCTCACACTCCTGTGATGCTGGCAAATGACTTAGGACAAGGGGTTCCTGTGCCAGATTACAACTTGAGAACAATTGAAAAAGATGATGTCTGTGTCCGTGGCTTGCAATTGGTGAGGATACTCTCCGCACACCTTTCAGCAGTCCCGGCCAATAAACAAAGATGGTGCTTGCAGTAACTCCACGGATGGCACCGTGCAAAATACACAATTGGAAGAATAGGTCACCAGCACTCCAAATATTTAAAATGAATAAGTCCTTTTTATTGGACGATAGTGTCACAAAAGATCAAACAAGAGCCGACGTTTCGGGGCCGCGCAGGGTCCCTTCCTCAAGGCAAGAGATGTGACAATGTGATAACATCCACATACTACATATATACGGAGTGCTGGTGACCTATTCTTCCAATTGTGTCCGTGGCTTGTCTTGGTGTGTTGGAGTTCCCCTGTGACTATGCTGTATGAGGTTATAAGTGTAAATCTCTGATTCCTTAGAATTGGACAGTATACATTGTTTCCCTAACACGCTATTCAAATATTTTTAAATGCAAAAGTTTTGTTCTTACTTGCATTTCTCAATAATATGCAATTATGACTTTTTATATTGCTTTCCTTAATTATGACTTTTTATATTGCCTTCCTTAATTACTATTATATTCTTTTATTATAGGAATAATTATGCTGGCAACAGGAAGGAGAAAATATCTTATTTATATACCTATTTACATTATTGTAATATTTTCCTCACTTTTGAGTGCAAACAATGATCAAAACACAGTAGTGGAGATAAAACAAGGGAAAGTTAGAGGATTTCATCTACCTACACTCTCTGGATCAGTTATAGCCTACCTGGGCATACCTTACGGTGAAGCTCCAACTGAAACACAAAGGTTTAAAAAGCCAGAACCACGAAAACCTTGGCAAGGCATTTATAATGCTACTAAATATGGAAAATCCTGTTATCAAAAGAGAGATGAGGCTTATGCTAGTTTTCCAGGTACAAATATGTGGCAAGTAAACAATGCAATGAGTGAAGACTGTCTCTATCTAAATGTGTGGGTTCCATCATTCAAACCAAAGTTAGCTCATGTCATGGTCTTCATCTATGGTGGGGCTTTTCTTGCTGGCACATCTTCCTTAGAAATATATGACCCAAGCATCTTGGCATTTTCTGAGGACATAATTGTCGTGTCAATGAACTACAGAGTTGGGGCCCTTGGATTTTTGGCATTACCAGGAAACAAGGATATTCCAGGAAATGCTGGCATGTTTGACCAACAGTTAGCCCTTCAATGGGTCCATGAGAACATTGCTGCTTTTGGTGGAAATTCCAACAGTGTTACTCTCTTTGGACACAGTTCTGGAGCTTCATGTGTAGGCTTTCATTTACTTTCTCCTGGAAGTCAAAACTACATCAAAAGGGTCATTTTACAAAGTGGCTCTGTTAGTGCACCATGGGCAATTAACACTCATAAAAGGGCAAAGCGATTATCCCTGAAACTGGCAGAACTTCTAGGATGCCCTATTAATGATGAAAGTGCAATGGTAGCTTGTTTTCAAAATATAGAAGCTACAAAAATAGTTGAAAAACAATTTTATGTTGAAACCATACACCCCTTTGCCCTTACACGAATAATACCCATTGTGGACTATGACTTCATTAGTGATACACCATCTAATGCTATAAAAGAAGGTTTAAAGAAAACAGAGATTTTAATAGGTGGGACCAAGGATGATGGAAATCCTTTTGTAATATGGGGTGCTCCAGGCTTTAGCAGGGAACATGACAGCCTTATAACCACAGAAGACTTGGTCAAAGGAGTTACAAGATTTTTTCCAACAGCTGGAGACCTTGGAACTGAATTAATTTTATTTGAATATAAAGACTGGGAAGATAAAGATAGCAAAAAGAAGAACAGAGAGGCCATGGAACTTATTTTACGAGATTATTACATGATTTGCCCAATGAAGCACTTTGCTCAGGAAATATCAAAACACAAACATAACATATATTTCTATGAGTTTGTTCATCGTTCTTCTCAAGAGGTCTGGCCAGAATGGATGGGAGCTCTTCACGGGGCCATTTTGCCATTTATGTTTGGGAAAGCACTCATTGAAGAAGGAAATTTCACAGAAGCTGAACAAAATCTTAGCAAACGAGTTATGAAAGTGTGGGCCAATTTTGCAAGATATGGGTATGCTATTTGTTTTTGAATTAAACAATATAAAAAATGGTTTAAGAAATAATAAGGACAGGATCATTCGATTCTGTACAAAAAAAGCATGTTGGATGAAACCGTAGCTTCCACAAGGCACGTTAAATGGTTTTATGTCAGTTTTATTCATTGAGTTTATTTATTTATTTGTTAAAGTGAATCTCTTTCCCCCAATCTTCCAATAGGGACACTTGTTCAAGGGACAGCTATCTAAAATAGGAATTACCTTCATTTTGCGAGATTTCCTCTAACTCCCTGTTTCATCTCTGGGACAGGAAAGAAAAGGTTGTTCCAATAAAGTTTATCCAAACCCAAAAAATGTTCATATATTGCAGTCAATGCTTTTGGATGTATTAGGTTTCTTTTTCCTTTATTTTCACCTGGTGATTCTGTAGCAGAGAACAATTTACTCATCATGCTTAGATGCAGGCACAGGACTTTTTAACTCAATTTCCCATTACTCCCTGGGTCCCTTGTTATGGGGAATTAAGTTCCTCAACTCCCCTCCCTCAAAAGCCTCAGAGCAGCCACACTTGATACGGCAGAGGTATCTGGGCAAGTGATCTGCAGGAATGTAACTAAGTGGAAGGCCCTTTTGTCTGGGATGGGAACAGTGGCGGAACTACCGCCGGTGCGGGCGCACTGGGGCCTCAGCCCAGGGGGGCCCAGCAAGGATCGGTATCCAGCGCCCAGCGGGCCCCTGGTCTCTCCGCCGGGAGTGTCGGATCATCTGTTCATCCGACACTTCCGGTCAGTGTTGTAGCGAAAAAAGTTTTAATACTCACCTGATCCAATCCACCGACAAGCGCAGTGTTCCTCCTCTCCCGCGTAGCGGGAGCGATGCAAAATGCGCAGCCGGCTTCATCGCTATGCTAATAGCTTGTCTTCTCAGAAGCTGCACACAGCGCGCCGGTTTAAATAGTTACCGACACGCTCTGCATGCATATTCTGACAGCGCGAGTCGGGACGCTGCGCTTGTTGGTCGTTCCAGGGATCAGGTGAGTATTAAAGGGTTATTAAACCCTCCGGCTTTTTTGCATATATATAAGGCTAGAAAGCAGTAGATATATGCAAAAAGTTTTTCTTAAAACTTACCCCGTCTTCGCCGCGCGCTCCTGTCCGAAAATCTGAAACTGTTTGAGCGGCCACAAAGCATCTTGGGGTGGGCGCATGCGCAGTTCGGATTCTCGGCCAAGAGACGAGCAGAGACGCAAGGTAAGTCTATGGACGCGTGCACCCGCATGCAGACACTGTGGGACAGGAAGTGCCAGCAATGACAGAGGAGTCAGCGCTGGTTCGGACACCCGCCGCACAGCTGGAGGGACAGATGAAAACATCAGGAAAGAAGATCGGATTAAGAGACATCACTTAAGGTAAGTGCTAACATTACCATTGGGTGGAGGGATAAAAAAAATTGACTTTATGGTCACTTTAACCACTTCCGGGCCGCAGTACGTCTATAGACCGCGGCCCGCAGAAGTGGTTAAAACAAGAACACCGCTGTTTCAGCAGCCGTGCTCTTGGTACCGCTTTTACCAGCAGGCGATTGCTGTATGACTTACAAGCAATCGCCTGCTGAGGACTACAAATCTCAGCAATACTTTATACAGAAATGCTATTGTTATAATAAGTATTGCTGGGATGTGTAGTCCTCTATAGCCTGTGCCATTATGCATTGCTGTAAATATTAGGGATGCACCGTATATCGGCCGCCAAAACATATTGGCCGAAAATGGCACTTTTGGCATAATGCCGAAAGTGCAATTTTTCTGCCGAAAAAGCGGCACATCCCTGCTATCTTTTTTCCCTGCTGGGCGCTGCTCTGTGTCCCAGCGGGGAGGAGAGAAAGTGACAGCCGGCCGAGCGCTGCGGAAGGATAGCGCTGTGTTTGTGGGTTTGTTCTTTAGTCCCTTTGTTCCTTAGGTCCGCCACTGGATGGGAAGCACCACTATGGTGGTCACAGAGTTCTGCCCAGTTGTACATGGCCCAAGCCTATTCTTACAACTGCCAAAATACACTCTAACACAGGCACAGTCATTGGAGGCGAGCTCCTTCCCCAAGAACAACCTCTGCAGTCTGTAGGCTCACCTGCTTTGGTTCCCTTAGCAAACCTTTCTGGGATCCCTTGCCTCAGTCACCCAGGCATAGCCTATGAGTGGAATCCTCAGCACTTACTTTACCCCTTTTAGCTCAGAGCTTATTCCAGGACTACTAGCCCTCACTGCACAAACAGAGCCCACACTAGTGAACACCTTTCTCCATCATCCCAGCATATAAGAAAGAATGGGTTTACATAAATAAAACTCAGGTTTTACTGCACAAAACTGACAAAGTCAAGAAAATTGAAACATTCCTTCTATATTCCCGTAAAGTGGTAAAACATGTTATTCTTGATGATGAACAAAAAAATATATCTCGACTTTGTCTTTCGTTTACCAGTGTTCAAATGGTTCCCAAAATTAGGGTGCTCTCTCCAAGGCTAATTCCTTACTTAGAGGTACTAGCAGCTCCTGACATAGGTTGGTTTATACCCGTGGTGACAGGGGAAAACCCAGCCACTCAGTTGCAGTAGAGTCCCCAGACCGTAACTAGTCCCACCCACCTGTTTTAATACATAATTTAGCAAGGGAGAGTGATTGACAGGTCTACTGTCTCGTACACAAAGGGTGGGATCTAGCCTTAAGAGGTCTTGCACCTTGTTACAGCCAGGTGAGAGTCCTTCCACTTTCAGAACTAGCATGCAGGCAGCCTGGCACACTCCTTATAACATGTAGCTTATTAAGAAGGCCAGGCTACTGAAGGGAGCACCTCCCACATCACTCCTGCATTTCCAGTGGGGTGGCCCTTTGTCCTCAGACCTTAGATTCCTCCAGCTGTAAGCCTGTGTTTCAAGAGCTACCCTGCACTTTATTGAGAGGGATGCTGTTTATGAAGAAGCTAGTGATTCTGTGTATGCAGTGTATGCCTGCTCTTTGCCATCCTGAACCTGTTTGCATGATTACCTGTTTAGTAAGTGATCAGAAATATGAATATGCAATGTAAAATAATAGCTGACTATATATATATATATAATCATGGCTAAAAATATTTGCACCCCTGCATTTCTGTCAGATAATGCACCACTTCGCGCAGAAAATTGTTGGAATTACAAATGTTTAGGCATTCTCATGTTTATTTCTTTTGTGTGTATTTGTATGACACAAAAAAGTTGAGAAAAAAGCCAAACCTGACACATTCCACGCAAAACTCCAAAAATGAACTGGACAAAATTATTGGCACCCTCAATTAATATTTGGTAGCACAGCTCTTAAAAAAAAAAACCCTGAAATCAATTGTTTCCTGTAACCATTAATGAGTTTCTTATACCTCTCTACAGGAATTTTGGACCACTCTTCTTTCGCCAACTGCTCCAGGTCTCTCAGATTGGAAGGGTTCCTTTTCCCAACTGCTGTTTTGAGATCTCTCCACAGGTGCTCTATGGGGTTCAGATCTGGACTCATTGCTGGCTAGTCCAGTACTTTCCAGCGCTTTGAAACCATTTCTGGGTGCTTTTTGACATGTATTTTGGGTCATTGTCCTGCTGTAAGACCCATGACCTCTGACGGAGACCCGACTTTCTGACACCAGGCCCTACATTGCACCCCAAAATTCTTTGGTAGTCTTCAGATTTCATATTGCCATGCACAGGGCTCAAAATTTCAAGTCCTGAGCTACTAGCCAGGCCTTAAGAGTTACTCGCCACCAGTCGCCCCACCTGACCCCTACCGTGCCCCGCCCTTAACTCCGCCAGGTCAGTGGTGTGACACAGAGAACAGACATCAGTAACAATGCAGAGTGCAGAGGCCAGTGGTGTGATGCAGAGTACAGAGGACAGCAGTGTAATGCAGAAAAAAGCAATGTATCCTCCATGTCCCAGGTGTCCTGCTTCTCCCGTGCTGTCCTTCCAGCCAGTAGCAGCTCTGCAGTCTTCCTCCCAAGCTTATGGCAGCTGAGGTGGGCGGAGGATGTGTATGGGCCAACTCTAAGCAGTGTGAATGAGGCCTTAGTGTTGCAGGGAAGGCGGGGTCTCAGATGGGCTGTAAAGGATCTCTGGTGGGCTCTGCAGGGTGTCAGGCTGAGACCACCATAGACCCTGCACAAGTGGAAATTTTGAGCCCTGGCCATGCACATAGTCAAGACATCCAGTGCCTAAAGCAGCAACCCCAAAACATCAGTGAACCTCCACCATGTTTGACTGTAGGGACTGTATTTTTTTTCTTTAGAGGCCTTATTTATTTTTCTGAAAACAATAGAATGATGGGCTTTACCAAAAAGGTGTAATTTTGTTTGCCTGTCCACAGCACATTCTCCCAAAAGGATTTTTGCTTCCTTAGGTAAGTTTTGGCAAACTCCAATCTGGCTTTTTTATGTTTCTGTGTCAGCAGTGGGGTCCTCCTGGGTCTCCTACAGTAGCGCCCCTTTTCATTCAGATGGCGACATACAGTGCGAGCATGCACAGTTGTACCCTGTGCCTGAAGGTCAACTTGAATTTGTCTGGAAGTTGATCGAGGGTCTTTATCCAACATTTGAACAATCCTTCGTTGTAATATTTGATCAACTGTTCTCTTTTGTCCCCCTCCAGGGAGATTAGCTACAGTGCCATGGGCTGTAAACGTCTTGGCAATGTTGCGCACAGTGGACACAGGAACATTAAGATCTCTGGAGATGGACTTGTAACCTTGAGATTGTACATGCTTTTCCACAATTTTTGTTCTCAAATCCTCAGACAATTCTTTGCTGCTCTTTCTCTTCTCCATGCTCCGTGTGGCACAACAGAGACACAATAGAAAGGTTCAGTCAATTTTTCACCATTTTAACTGGTTCTATATTGTCAGCACCTGTTCATTGATACAGGTAAGTTTAATTACAAATTACAGGAGAATCACAAACTTGGAATGCAATTATTTAGTGCAATTTGGAGAAAGTGCCAATCATTTTGTCCAGTCCATATTTGGAGTTTTGCGTGGAATGTGTCAGGTTTGGCTTTTTTTTCTCAACTTTTTTGTGTCATACCAATATTTAAACCCTATGTAAAGCCTCCTAAGGTGACACTAAACTGAGGAGGTAAATCTAAAAAATGCATTCAGTATACCTAACTATTAACAAAAATGTGCCTTATTTGTGTATCACTCGGCTGTAGTTTCTCAGACCATATCTGAATTTGTGCTGACACTGTCCTTCCTTCTGGAGGGCGGCTTTGTTCCCCATGGTCCCTGTGTGTGTTGTAATGTAGCCACCACTCCAAGCTCGCTCCCATGATGGATTACAACCTAAAGTTTAGTTAGTTAATTTGTATAGAAGTTATAGTCTATCATGGGTGCAAACTTGGAGCAGTGACTACTTTACAACACACACAGGCACCATGAGGAACAAAAGTAGCCACCCTCCAGAAGGAAGGACAGTGTCAACACCAATTCAGAAATTATTTGAGGATCTACAGCCAAGTCATACACAAATAGGGCACATGTTTGTTAATAGGAAACTTGAATGTATTTGTAAGATTCAACTCCTGAGTTTAGTGCCCCTTTAGGAATTTATATGCTAAAAATGATTGGTTAATCCCAGATTTTTTTTCAACATTACTTTTCTTTTTACTGGCTTTTCAGAATAGCAAACAAGAAAGGTTTTAGTGCAGAATAACACTTTTAGTAGTTTGATAGCATCTTTTCATAGATATCTGTACATCAAACCAAAATAAGGGACAGATGAGGAGGGCACAGGGACAAAGGGATTTGGTTCCAAAAGAGGGACAGTTGGGAGATGTGTGACTAGCAGAATGATGAGAGTTTGCTGAACATTTGCATGTATTCTCCTGTTATATCCTAAACAAATCATGTTGTATTTTTAGGTCAGCTGTTCACAAAATCATCAGTCTTATTTTAAATTTTCAGAACACCTCATAATCATGAAGACAACTTTATTTGGCCTCTTTACACTAATCAAGATGAGAAATATGTAGTCCTAAAGACTGGTTCCTGGGAAGTTAAAAATAACCTTTATTCCAAACGTTGTCAGCTTATGAATTCTCTCCTTCCTAAACTTGTCAGACAACTAGGTAAGAGACTCCCGTTACCCTAAGGAGAACTATGGGGAAAAGCCCTGACCCCATAGTTCTCCTTTAAAGAACATTTCATGCTGAATTCAACACAAAACGCAGAATGAAAATATATGCAGTACAAAAAAAAGGTATGCAGGAAATACTGTAATGCATTTACGGTTTCAATGTACTATCAGTATTTAGTAGGGTAGCCTTTATTCTTTAAAACCACACCACAGTGACGTCTCATTGAGCCAACAAGTATTTGAATCTCTGCCTTCATTATTAAGTGGTGCCAGGAAGCAATTATAGCCTCAATTACTTGCCTTTTATTTGATAGACACCTCATTCATACAAGGCTTTTCGGGGAGCTGAATCCTGCTCAAATAGAAATGTGTATTGTTGGGAAATAAATCACTGAGGGAAGGTATCAGTTTTGGTTCCAGGATGGTGTCAATGTATTTTCTTGCGTTCAACGTGCCGTCAATTACATGAAGGGGGCCAGCACCATTTGTTGCCATACATGCCCAAATCATAACGCTTGTTGGTTACTGTGCATAGGCCTCCATGCAGTCAGGATGTAGTGTTATGCATTGTGGTTTGCAGTTACAGCACAGTTTCTTTCCATTTTCACTTATTAATTGTAATTATTTTTTGAATGAAGAAACTGAGGACACTTTATAATTGACAGACTATTATGTGATATTATGGAACACTGAATTTTATAGGACACTAATTATAGCACCGTTTTTCGTGTGGACCATTCACTGCGGTTTCAGCACAATTCTTTGTATTGGTGATTTATGCACTGTTTGTTATGCAGATTATTCATTGTTGTTATAGCAACAATAAATTGAGAATCCAGAAAAAGTTAGGTACAAAAATGTATTTAGTGCATGCTGTTATGAAAGGTCTTCTGATTGTTGAGTAAACCCTCCAAAATGGTATATTATGTAATAACTAAAGAGGGAGCTCAATTATTTTCTAGCAGGATAAAAATATAATATTACATGTACAGTAATTGCCAAATGTTTGCCCTGTATTGTTTAAACTTGTTTTTCACTACAGGAAAAACATTTGATGGAAATTTGTGGAGTGACCCAGAAAAATCAGAGGACACTTGCTTTAAGGATGAGATTTCAGGAGAAGAGTCGTGCAGGTCAACCTTAGATTAAAAATTCTTCGTTAAAGCTGAACTCTGGGCACAAAAAGTTTCATTTAGATATAGTCCTCAACAAGTACTGCCTACAGCCTCCAACAGATGTCAATGGCTGCACATGGCTATATGCTTTTATACGCCAAACCTGCATAAAACGCATGCATGTGTATTGGCACACAAACCTGAATGCAGACTGTCTGCCTTCAGCATTGTGCTTATGTGCCCATCCATGCGTTTTATGCAAGTTTCATTGACTTCTATGGGAGGCTGTACGCAGTTCCTGTGGCTCCCTGGTGTGGAAAATATGCATGCGTTTACATTTTACTGGTTCAGCCGCCTGTGTACATTAGCCCTTTAAGTAGCAGTGACATCAACACTGTGCTGTAATTTCCCTGTGCAGAGGGCAGAGCTGTGGGAGGGACTCAAAAGGCCCCACCCACTGCAGGCTGGCTGCGGAATACTAGAAGGGGGGGCAAATACAAGACCAGTTACCTTGCAAGGAGCGAGAACAGTAATGACTGCTCTTTAATAAAATATGCTCTTACACACAGACAAAGTTTCATACTGGATTAACGCACACATCTGGAAGAAAAAAGTAAAGCACACCAAGCTACATAAAGGGAATATTTGCTTATCCAAGAGTTCAACTTTAAAAGATATGGAGCCCCACAATCCAATATTTATATCATAATGAACACTAATTTATATAAAGGACCTGTATGCTATATATGTGGGATAAAAAATGAATGATCGGGCATTTTAAAAAAGTCACTCTGTTGTTTTTTTTTTACTACACATGTTTTTTATTTTTTTACACACAAATTACATTTGTGGATCTACATCTCTACCAAACCTTGTGTCATTGAATGGATGTGTGTGCTCTATTCTTAAGTGGGTTAAGGAATTTCCTAAACCAGAACTTTTTGGTTGTGTTTATTAATGTTTAGCACTGGCTTTCCAAAATTATGGGTAGATAAATATAATTCAAAGAAAATAATGTTGTATTAGATCTGACGCTTCTTGCTAATACAAATACTGTAAGTGCTCATGTTCACAAAATATGTTCCATGGAACACATTATTTTCTACTTTATTATAACTATATACAGTGGATCAAAAAGTCTTCACACCCCTGTAAAAAATGCAAGGTTTTTGAGATGTAAAAAAAAAAATCAGACCAAGATAAAGCACTGTACAATTTTTGCCACCTTTAAAGTAACCTATAACCTATGCAATTCATTTCAAAACAAATTGAAATCTTTAAAGGGTGAAAAAGAAAAAGAAAAAACCCTGGCAAGGCCATTCCAAAACTTTGATCTTCTTCTAGTGAAGCCATTCTTTTGTTGATTTAGAGGTATGCTTTGGGTCATTGTCATGCTGAAAGGTGGAATTCCTCTTCATCTTCAGGTTTTTAGAGTCCTGAAAGTTGTTAAAATTGACTGATATTTGGAACTGTTCATAAGTTCCTCCACCTTGACTATAGCTCCAGATCCAGCTGATGAAAAACAGTCCCAAAGCATAATGCTGCTACCACCATGCCTCACTGTGGGTATCAGGTTCTTTTGGCAATGTGCAGTGTTATTGTGCACCAAACATACATTTTGGAATTATGGCCAAAAAGTCATTCTTGATCTCATCAGACCATAACACATTTTCCCCCATGCTTTTGTCAGATTTAATGTAGGTTTTTGCAAATTGTAGCCGGGCCTGGATGTTTTTCTTAGTAAGAAAAGGCTTTTGTTTTGCCACCCACAGCCCAAACTGAAGAATGTGGGAGATTGTTGTCACATGTAGTAAACAACCAGTACTTGCCAGAAATTCCTGCAGCTCCTATAATGTTGCTGTAGACCTCTTGGCAGCCACCCGGACCAGTTCCTTCTTGTTTTTTCATCAATTTAGCAGGAACGTCTAGTTCTTGGTAATGTGACATATTTTCGTCACTTGTTGATGACCCTCTTTACTGTGTTCCATAGTATATCTAATGCCTTGGAAATTTTTTGTACCCTTCCCTTGATTGATACCTTCCAACAATGAGATCCCTTTGATGGTTTGTAAGCTCTTTGCAGACCATAGCTTCTATTGTTAGAGGCAACTAAGTATACGTCAGAAAAATCCTATTAGAATAGCGTAACTTTATATGAGCCTAATCAGAGTCACTTATGGCAGATGTGTACTGACTACTATTTAACATCAGTTTGAATGTGATTGGTCAATGCTGAAGAGGGTGTGTACACTTAGGCAGCCACATTGTTTTATTTTATTTTTTTCCCAACTAAACAAATTCAGTTTGTTTTATAATTGAATTGTACAGATCATAGGTCACATTGAGGCCCGGTTCACACCATCTCCCGTCTGTTCTGGAACGGTTAGTGGCAGGAAAGCAGTGGATTACATAGTGGAAGCCGCCCTGTGTTTTGGGGCGGGAGGGGGCGTGGTGGTGCCATTCAAGTCAATGGCCCCGCAGACACACCCGGGTGAATGCCAGGTACAGTAATGCCCATGGTCCGGTCCAATCGCGATAATAGTGCATGCGATCACACCGGAATACAGGCATTGCTGTGCGACGTGTTCTGGTGTGGGCTATTGCACTGTGGGTGAAGGGGAGCGTCTGCCGTGCTATTGACTTGAATGGCACCACCACGCCCTCTCCCGCCCCAGAATGCAGGAAGGCTTCCCCTATGTGATCCAGTGGGTTCCAACCACTAACCGTGTCGGAAATGCACTGGAGATGGTGTGAACCAGTCCTAAAGGTGGAAAAAAGTTTGAAGTGATTTATCTTAGTCTGATTTTTTACATCTCAAAAACCTGGCATATTTAGAGGGGTGTTTTCTTTGCATTTTACTATATACTGTCCCATTCCTATAAAAATGCTTACCTAAGGAGTTCTCTCAATCTATCATGTATTTATGTATAATATGTTTATCTGTTGATCTGTTGGTAGTATCTGTAGTAATGGATAAATTGTAAAAATTACGATTTATATCCATCTTCAAATTTATGTAAGGATTAAACATGTATACTGGAAGCAATTTCCACATGCAACTTTCCTTATTATCTTATTTTTGCATCTGAAAAATATACTGTACATGTATGGAGAATAAAGTGCTCCAGAAAGTTCTGAGATATATTTTACTTTAGACCTATTTTGGTTGGTAGATTAAAAAAAACTGGAAATTATATACTGTATGTTTATATGTTCTTAGCCTGAAAGCTAATGCAGCCACCACATTAATGGATTGGTAAGCTGAAACCTTTAACATTTCTGCTCTAGATTTTAGATTTACTTCAAGCATGGTGCAGGTATATATTTAAAAAACATCAACAGTGAAGTTTGGGTTACCATGAGAAGGTATGAGGCTTCAAGAATTTTATGACATTTTGAGATTTTGGGTTATATTAAATGTGCAGTTTAGATCTGCCAAACACATTCCAGGTGCACCAAAGCAACAGGTTTCACACAGTTCATTATCTTTTGAAAGAATGCTACAGAGTTGGACTTCCTGTGTGGAAGCAGTGGTCTCTATGCAGGGGTCCAATGTGACTCCTGCTAAGTCAGAGCTAGAACTCTCTAATTAGTGGGGAGCATGAGCTTTGCTGATTAGATAGTTACATAGTTACATAGTTACATAGTATTTGAGGTTGAATAAAGACATTAGTCCATCAAGAACAATATCGTCCCTTATATGCACATTCAGATTATTTTTTACGTAAATGCAAAGCCCCCCCCCCCCCCTTCTCCCACCTCTGTCCCTCCTAAACAGGTTATACCCCTCTATATTAGTAGCCCAGTCATGCGTGCTGTCCAGCCAGGTTTCCGCTATACCCTCTATGTCGAAGTCCTCTTCAATTAGCCTAATTTCAAGTTATAGGTCTCAGTCAGTAGAGGGTGTTGTTTCCTGCTTTCAGAGAGAGTGAGGATCCTTCTCTGCAACATGCTGGCAGGGTACAGACTTTTATTTTCAAGATGTGGCTGATTCCTAAAAATAAGCTAATTGTAGGATTTTGCACACTTGATGTTTTGATGCCCCTGAAATATATTAAACTGAAAGTTCAGTTGAGCTTTAATGCATTTATTAAAAATCATGAAACTTTTTAAAATGCTGACAGTGAAGCTATCTACAGGAACACAGTAACCAAGAGGATGACCTTCATTTTGATTCTGCTGTTTCATTGTCCAGGTCACCGTGATTGCCACATGCAGTTGGATGTATGGGTAGTTTGGACTGCTAGGCGCTTTCTTGCATCCGCTTTATGTGTCTACAGCAGCTTTTCTCAACCAGAGTGCCATAGCACTGGGGTACCTTATGGTCTCCTCAGGGGAGCCTCGAAATCTTTAAACAGTATCATGCCTTTCCATGGTGCAGGTGTTCCATAGTGGAAGACAGCTCCTAGTGTGAGAAGAGGTGACTCTGATGTGAATGAAGGAGGCTCCTAATGTGATGGGGGCCACCTCATGTAATGGGGGACTCTGATGTGAAGGGAGGAATTCTGATGTGAAAGGGGGGTTATGTTGCGATGGGGGAACCCCACTTTTTTTTTGTGTTTTTGCATATGGTCCCCCCTTAAAAATCTATACCAGATCCCTATCTCAGTTAAGGGTCTGGTATGGATTTTGGAGGGACCACAATTTATATTTTTCATCTACATTTTTCAGATTTTAGACTGGGGTGCATCAAGATTTCACATACTTCTAGAGGGTGCCGTGACTGAAAAAAGGCTGAGAAATGCTGGCCTACAAAGAGAGACAATGGTAGTTATAAAAGGCATAAATATCACAAAGCACAAACATGACAAACCTGCAGAGATAACAACTGCAAATAATGGTAATGTTGTAGTGCTGGAGTTAGGTACAAGGTGGTACTGCATTTTGTTTTGTACTAAAATGAAGAATGCAGATGGAAAACTTACAAAAAAAAATCCCATAATCAAGGCCGGATTAACATAGGGGCAGGTGGAGCTCCTGCAAATAGGCCTGGGCCAACCCCAATCGGCCTGCCTGAATTTGCGGACCCAAATCCGCTGGTCCGACCCAACCCGGCCGTTGAGGCCCTCTATTCAAGCATATTAGAGGGTCACTCGTGAGAGTTCACACTGACCACCTGACAGCCCCTACTGACCACCTGGAGCCTGCACTGACCACCTGAGAGCCTGCACTGACCACCTGAGAGCCCATACTGACCACCTGGCTCCTGCACTGAGCTAGGGAAGACAGGTGTGATAAGAATAGCATATAGCAAATCAAGTTGGAATAGTCACCATCGGGTGTCCCAGTGCTCCCGAAGTGACTTTGTGGTCCAGTCGTAGTCATGAAGGTCCCTGGCAGTGGTTCTGCAATATGATGCAGAGTGGGAATGTAGGCGTATATTGCAACTTCTGTAGCTGTAGCTAAGGCATCCATCCCATGCATTGATTGAAGCTGTCCCTGCTGAAAAACAAAACTTGAACAGACAATAAACCAAACTTGTAAGGACATCCTTTTTCCCCGAATGCAGGCAACAATACTCAAACTTTATATGGAACCAGGATAGGTATCCTCAGTGCAAAGTCCGTGTGGCAGAGAATGCACTACATGAGTGATCCCCCCGTCCCGCCACCCTAAATGACAGCATGTGCAACAGCTTGAGGGCGACCTGCGAAGGTCAAAAACTTGTATGAAAACATAGGAACAACTGGTAACAGACGTCAAGAGCAGCGGTGGGTAGCCAGCGCATTCCCCGCGGGTTTATCCGAATCTGATCTTTCAGGTAGAATTCAGGCTTTCTTTTTCCTGGGTGGACTTTTGATCGGGGAGGCAGAGAACTGAGATTCCCAAGACTCAAGGAATCTTTGCGCTTGGGGAGCTGATGTGAATCGCCACTCCTTCCCATCCTCAGTGGAGAAGCGAAATGTCACTGGGTATTGAAGGGCAAATTTGATGCGTTTGCGCACCAGGATCTGGCACACCTCATGGAAAGATTTCCACAGCTTTGTGGTCTCCGCAGAATAGTCAGCAAACAGAAGCAGTTTAAGGCCGTTAACAATAAGATTGCGGTGCGTGCGGTACAGATTGAAGATAGTTTGCTTGTCATGGTAGTTTAGGCAGCGAACTATCACTGGCCGCGGTTTGTTGTCATCTCAAGGCGGACCCAGTCTGTGTGCCCTTTCCACACTGCATATGTTGTCGGACTGGCCCAATGCTTTTGGGATGGCTGTGGAGCAGAATGCAGTTCCCCTGGTTTGACCGACTCTGGGATACCAATGACTCTCAAGTTATTACGTCGAGAACGGTTTTCCAAGTCGTCAACTTTCTCCAGTAATGTGTGCATCTGTTTGGATACTGTGTTATAGGAGCGGTGTGCCTCAGCAGCATCATCTTCTAAATCACAGACCCGCAGTTCCATAGCCTGTAATCTCTGTGTCTGTGCCTCTAGAACTGCAGTGATCTTTCCCATATAACCATATAAGGAGTCTGCTTTCAGGTGTTATGACACAGCAGAAGCCAGTAGCGTGTAGTTGAGAGGGGAGGCAGAATGAGTGGCAGGCATTGACTCACCTACCGTGTCCCCACGTGTAGCTTCTTGCTGCATGGCCTCGGGCGCCATATTGGAGGAGGCATGACCGTCTGCTGACAGGTCTGTGAGAGCCCTCTGCGATCTCTGCGGGCGCTCCACACATTTGTCCATGGCAGGCAAGGTATGCGGTGCACAAAG